TTTTTAATGCTTTTTTTTTTATTCATATATCTAGACATTAATGATAAAACAAGAATTAGCTAAAGATTCAAAATTAAAAAATGAATCTTGGGATCGTTTTCTACCGAAATTTAAATCAAAAAATCTTTCTAAACGTTATAAACCTCATAAAGTTCGCGTTACTAAACCATATACTCCATTTCCACCATCACAACCATTATCAAAAGTAAATTATTATTATTTATTAGAATTCATTTATAATTAATCATTATTTAAAAAAAAAAATTTAGATTGATAAAGAACTTGAAAGTGGTGAATATTTTGCTAGAGAAGCTGAACGTCGTCAGAAAAAATCTGAAAAAGATCAAGTTAAATTAGATAAAAATACTGAAGTATCATTAAAACGAAAGAAAGAAAAACGAGACAAAGAATTTATACCACCTATTGAAAAACAATCTAATCTCAAACAAAAACCAACAACAAAAATTGATGGTCTAGTTTATTTATCTATTTATTTGCTAAATTCTTTTCTTTTCTTTTTTTTCTTTTCTAGATACATCAAAATTAGTTAAAAATGTCAAGAAAAAACTAAAACGTTTACAAGCCGATTAATTTTTATTTTTGTAAAATAAAAATTCTATAAGGCTAATTATCATTCATAAAAATTTGTTTTTTTTTTTTTCTTTTTGTTTTGTTTTTTCTATTTGATAAATATAACTAAACTAACATGATTAATATACCAATCATGAATAGAAAAGAAATTGTTGTTTTTATTGAAGCTGATGAAATAACTATTGATGTATCATCAAGACATGAACCTGATAAACAACGAAGTTTTGTTGTACAAATAATTCCACCTTGATGTTGACATTTTAATTCAGCAAGATGAGTTTTTCCATTCCATAAACCTTTACAACGATTTTGATTTAAATATAAATCAAGTTGATTATTTCCTAATGTACCAACACCAATTTGTACTGAACCATATTTAACAGTAAGTGTTGATCGTTTTTGATTTAATATAAATGGTCCATTTGGTTCACATGTTTCAGTTGAAGAATTACATTCACATGAATCAATTAAAAATATTCCATTTAAATTTTGACTTGATATTGTTTGTAGAAATGTAAAACATAGAATGAGTATAACAGTTGTATGAAACATATTGATATGAATGTTCAAAATTGATGAAAGAACAAGATTTATAAATGAACAGTTTCATGTAATTGATATTTTAAGCCTTTGTATGTTGAATATTTAGATTAAAGTAAAGGTAATATGAGATGTTATATATATATATATTTAACATCAATCTCATGGTTATATCTTGAAAAAAGAATTTTTATTTTCACATAGTACTTGTATATCGATGAAACAGAAGATTTAAAACAAGGTGAATATTATAAAATAGACAATCAAAGTTTAGTATGTTATTCTTATATTAATGATACATTCGTTTGTAATTAAAATGAATACGTTAAGAGAAATTGAGTTTCATTCGATGAGACAATAGCATTTAGAAATTTAACAATGTAAGAATAATAGATTTTCTCAAAACAATGAAAATATTGAATTTTAAAAAAAACTGGCTTCGTTTATAGTTTTCAGTCAATATAAGTAACTAGATTTTGTTTCTGTATAAAATGTGTTACATTTTTTTCTATTGATTACTGTCGATTGGCAATTTCTCGACGGTGAGAGAGCAAGCTTTATGAATAACGATGTTTGGCTTTTCGATATAAAAAATATTTATTAATAAACGCAACAAAAGCCATTGTCGTAAAACATGAGCTTTTTGTAACATGCAGTCGAATATCTGATATTTATCATATTTTGAAAAATATTTACTTGATCGAAACTAACGATCACAATAACAATGCAGTTTTCCTTAACTCATGTATCATATGTATGTAGTTAGAAACGATGGTGTGATGTTGAGAGTTAGCGTACAAATTTGAAGTGATTATTATGATATGCACTGGTTAGTCTGAGGTTGTTCATGTGAAAGAAGGATTCCATCCTTACATTCTTACAAGAAATAGAACATGTAGAACAACAAAAAAAAGTGAAATTAAACAATATTGAAACTACTACTAGATGAGGAGCAACGAGAGGAAATGACTTTATAAGCTCTACATTGTAAAAGAGAAAAGGCGTAGAATAGTAAAGCCAATAAAAAAAAGTTTATTAGCCTCATAAATCCTTTTAGAACATATGACGTTTTTATAAATCCTTCGAAGAATTCATGAAAATTTTATGTAGTGTTTACGAGGCAAATGAAACCTTTTGTTGACTTTATTATTCTATGCTTTTGTTTTAACAGTATAGTACTACTTGATGGAGACCAACTCCGTCAGTTAAAATTATTTGTTAATGATTTCAAAATAGAAATCAATTGTTATGTATCAGGATATAATTCAATTATCAAAGAAACGCAATTTAATTAAAGATGACAAGAATATAATATTGTATGATTGAATATTATTGATATTCATAATACTATTGACATAAAAAGTTTTATTGTTTCTTGTTAACTGAATATGTCTATCTTTTTTCTTTTTTTATTAAGACGTTAATATTCTAGATAAAATTCTTTTCTTCTATTAATAATGACAACAAATAGTAAGTATTCAAATTAGACAATCGATCATAATGATATTGTTTATGAAAGACGAATAAAAGACATTTTGAAATATGTCATGTATGGTTTTTTTTAGATCTTCTAGTTATATTTTTGAGTGTTATAATTTCGATAATTTGGAAAAGATGTACAATAAAATTGAATTTAATAACGACTTTATTGATGTGTTTAATAATGTTTATGTACTGTACAAAGACGAGCATGAAACTGATAATCTTGAAGGAAAGACAGTTCTTCATGTCAAGCAGCAGTGTCCAATTCGAAATTTGATTTCGAGTATTAAACTAGTGTTCAAGTACCTAATTACTCAGTATTACTTTTCGTGTGCTAAGATTTCACGAAAAATCTTAGCGAGAGAGATGTCGTTTGTGTATACTTCTTAGTGGAATACTTTAGTATTTAAATTTCAAATTTTCAACTGTCAAATATTCAATAACTGAACTCAACTTTTAAGTTTGACATGTGTGGTTGGAAAAACGAATTGTTTGCAAATTGTTATCCGATAACTTTAATTCTTTGAAATATTTCATCACAATTCTTCTCTATACATTCCTGGTCAACGATATGACTTCTATCGAATTCAAAAATCAACATGAAAACTTTATAGAAAGAGTAACATGTATTTGACTAAAATATTTATTATGAATGTCTATGTAATAAAGACTCAAGAATATCAAGAACAATACCAATAAAAACCTGCATGTATTCCAACTATGATTTGCAAGCAACAACAATGACAGTGATATGTCTGTGTTTAATTCAACCAAAACTTGCTTAGATAATTTAAGAAATATGATGATTCAATGAGATTTATATCAAGATGTTAGATTATTGAAAAAATGATTAATTTATTGTAAGCGTTCATCCATAATAAATAAAACTGTAGATATGTCTGCCGAACGAGTCTTTTCCATATTTTATAATCTTTTCAATGATGCAAAATACTATCGAAAAATTATTGGTAATGATATGAGGTCGTTATTTACATTGACTTTAATAAATATCCTTATGTGAAAATGCAAAAAAAGAGTCGATTTGTAAAGATCTATCATTATTTACATGTTTTTTTTTAGACTAATTTCTTCTCGTAAGTATAGATATACGGATGATAATTATTCTCTTCACATAGAGTTTCTTGATATTTTTTCTGTAATGTATGATTATCACTGAACATCCGTCTATCGTAAATCAGGTGCTGAATCTTATGTAGTACTATTGATACATCCCCTACTCGACTTTCCCTAATGAAATCCCTAGGGGTTTCATTATGGAAAGTCGACTAGGGATTAGAACAATTCTATGTGAATTGTTGAGATTGATTACTAGCTTTTATAGAGTGAGACTTGTTTAATCTGATATCGTTTTGTGAATGGTGTCGTTCTTATCTGAGATATGTTTCTGCTAAAAGATGTCGAATCGGAAGTAATTTCATTTGCATTTTTTCTTTTTTATGATCTCTAATCGAAAGTTGTAACATTGAATCATTTGATTGATCTTCTGTTTGTAGAAAATATATAAATTTAGGACAGATATTTAGTTATTTTGAGAAAATTCTCATAGATTGTTGGGAGATTTTCTGTGAAATATAGGCAAGTGACACATTTATGAGAGTAGAATTTTCTGAATCGCTAATATATTTTAAAGAGATTGGCTTTAAAGATCATAGAATTGTTTGAAAAGATTTTCTTCAACTTCAGCCACACTTGTTTTAATCAAATTAGTGTTGATTTTTTTTGAAGAATATCGAATATGGAAATGTTGGAAGTATAGAAGTTAATAGACAGTCGTATCGTCGACTATCTCGGTGTCTGTTCGAAAAAAACATGAACTATTTCCATTTATGCTAGATATCTTGCAAAACGCACCCTCACAAACCTTTGTTTGATCGATTTATCATTAAAAAACTAGCGTTATCAACGACATGTATTCAGAGAATTCGAGTAACAAGAAAAAAACATGGAGGTCGATAAATTAAATTTAAAAATAAATATCTTATGATAACTGATAATCGATATGTCCTTAGTTGAAATGAAAAAAGGTTGTTTATATATTGATTGGTTCTTTCTACCCACAATTAAATCTTTAATCGATTGATATTTTTTTCAATAAATGAAAAAATCGTCTCGTGCTCATCGTGTCATTTTTCTTTTCATTACAAATCAAAAATTCTTCAATATCATCATTATTAAATATGACAAATAATAGTAAGTAGTACTACAAAACAAAATGACTTTAGTTTTTTTTTTCACTTGAAAATACACATTTTTAATGTTCTATATACGAATATATGTAAATAGATTTTGATCAAATCAATCTTTAAGTTTTATTTAAAAATCCTAATAGTAAATAATTACTTTTATTTCGATAGAAGAAAAACAAAATGTCTTCTAGTGGTGATAATAATATTGTCCACCGTTTGAATGCTCTTAAACAACAAAATAAATCATTTAAAACTGTTAAGGTCGAGTTGCAGAAAAGAAATATGAACAATGTTTGAAACGATTAAATGTAACAAATAAACAAAATCATATAAATACGGATAGTCAAATTCGAAAACAAAAACTTCAACCGAATAGACAAACAATTGGAGCTATTGATAATGTTCCACAACTTATTCTAAGTTTTTTTAAATATCAAATGCAGGCTCCCGATTGTTTTTGGGAGTAGGAAGAGGGGGGGGGGGGGGGCTAAAGATATGACAGAAATGAAATCGACTTTCTGCGAGAAATTTCACAGAAAGCATTTTTAGTTTAATTTCATTCCAGTAAATGCAGGAGTTTCCTGTTGAACTGAACTGAACTTTAAAAAATTCCGTAGAAAGTCCCAGGTAGGGAAGAAAATGGTAAAATAGCATTAAAATGCTTTCAAATTTACATAATTATAAAGATGTAGAACGATCACAAAAAATGCTTTTCATTTGATGTATTAAAATGATTATAAAAATGATCATTTTAATATATCAAATGAAAAGCATTTTTTGTGACCGTTTTATATCATTATAATAATATTTCTTTTAATATTTATTTGTTCAGACTTAATTCGTTTCAATAGGTTTGCATTTTAATTCCTCAGAAAATGATATATTTTATATATATATATGTTTATACATATTATTCACCATTCTCGAGGCACTTCAAATTAATAATCCAAAATAATCAATTTCCTAACATAACTTTATCATTTTTATGATTAAGTTTCTGCATAGGTTTTTCTTTTGATGCTATTTTTCTTAACTAAGAAAATCAAATAGTTCAATGTATTCAAATCTGAACTAATTCAGATCTGAATATATATTGAACGATTTAGTTTGGAACGAATTTCTACATTTTCGCAATTAGAAAAAATAGCATCAAAAGAAAAACCTATGCTAAAACTTAATCATAAAAATGACAAAGTTATATTAGGGTGCCTTTATTCTTGTCTATAGTACTGGAATATTTTTTTTCGTAAAGAAGAAACCACAGACATATTCATGACTGTACTATTTGCTGAGAAATAGAGCGAGAACATAGGTAGCTTTGATCGTACTTCCATCGGCGATCAATTCAATAATAGCTTTTTACAGCTATCAGTGAATTACACACTCTCGAATAACCGATGATAAAAGTCAATTCAATATGCAAATGACTCATATGATCAATTTTCATCTTGATATTATATCGAAAACCTAGACTAATATATTTTGTAACAGAATTTATTTTAGTATAAATGTACAAAAGAAATACAAGAAAATAATGAATAATAGCACATGAGTTCTTTTTGGACGTCTTGTTTTATTTTGCATAGAAAAATAATTTTTATGATATGAAAACGAAAGATCACTGAAGAACAAATCACAGATTAGATACTATCTGAACATAGCATCATAATATGTTATTATAAAAAGTAATTGGAAAGCTTTTAGACAAGATATTTGTTCACTTTTGAGTCACTACAAAGTATTTCTGACGAGTCAAAAATACACGCCACGACCAAAATTTGAATATCGGACTTCAAAATGTTATGTTTATTTTTGTTCAAGAGTAGTGAGCGACTTTTTAAAAGACCTGAAAAATTAGTTTTAATGGTGAACCAACAAGTTTTTATTAACACTATAAGTCCGTTTTTTTTTGAACATGCTAGAAATTATCGGAGTTAATCGTTTCGTTGAGCGAACGCTTCTTTACAAAATATGACATTGAACTAAGCTATAACTTTTGCTCAATTAAGGTTATAAGCATTTTTTCATGAACTCGTTTCAACATAAAATGGTTGTCAATTTTTCAAAAATGTGTATTTAGGAAAAACGCAAAGTGAAGTCAAAAACCAAAAAAAAACTTCAAATAGGTTATTTTGTAGGGTAGCTTCCGATCTACAAGCTGATATATAAATAAAGATCTCAACTTTTTTAGTTTCAAATTACAATAGGAAAAATATAAAAAATTTTCCGTCCCAACGAATTTTTCGAAGATTATTTCATTACTCTCGAACAAAAACTTATACAAGATTTTTAAGTTCACAGTCAAAAAGAGTACAAAATCATAGATTTTGACTCATCAAACATACTTTCTTGAGAGTTAAAAGTGAACAAATATGTTGTCTAAAAATTTTCCAATTACCTGTTATAGTACAAAACAGAAACAAAAAACAAAAATAAATGTTATAACTAAATATTATACAGTTTTTCTCGATGATCACTATTTAATAACCAAGAATTTTTTGCTGCTGTTACACATTGTCGTACTTGATGATCATTAAATTTTTGATCAAATACAATTCGAGTTATTACATTATACAATTGATTTGATATTGTTGGTAAATTTTTTATTTTACTTTTTTCATTATTTATTTGTGTATTTTTTAAAAGTAAAATTAATTTATTAAGACCATTATGTCTTTCATGAGCTTTCTTTGATTGAATTAAATGATTCAATGAATTTAATGTATCTATTGGCATATTAAAACGAATTAAAAGTATGTCCATTAATAATTGATCACACTGAGAATCATTTGTAAAAATCTAATCAAATAAGAAAAGTTAAGAATATTATTTAACAAGTTTTTCAATTTTTACCTTTCCACGATTCTTAGTAATTAATCTTTCCCATTCATCAAGTGATACTTCAGTAAATTTTTGAGAATTTTTAAATATAATTTGAAGCGCTTGTATAAATTTTGAAAGTAAAATTTCCGACGAAAGTTGTTCATTAAGAAGACATACACGTAATTGTTGTACTACATAAACATTCTTTGATACATCATCTGATTCCAAATAACGAAACATTTCACGATGTGCAGTAGAATGATCATTTTTATTATTATCTTTCGGAATAGTAGAAGCTAAAATTAAAAAACAAATAAGTTATTTAAATAAGAACAATATTTCAAACTCATCGAAATATCAATCTCTTCTTTCTCTTTTTCCGTGTGAAATAAAAGGAAATCTCTATTTTCTTAAACTATAAAATACTAATTAAATTCAATAGTTTTACGAGTAAGAGTATTAGTCTCTGTGAAATTTGCTGAACGATGCGCATTAATAAAAATATTAGAGAATATATCTTCATTAATAAGAGAAAGAAAAATTTTGTGACTTCCCAGAATTTTCTTTACAAGATCGCTCTCATGCGGTATTAGTAAAATACCTTCTGAACCACTCTGAATACTGTTTTACTTCGAACTTATACCAGTGAATAGACCTTGAGACTCTGGATCTACTGGGCTTCACTCTGAGCCAAAAGCTCAAATAAATGTTTGGAAAATAATGTTAAAGGAAATTGTAGCAAACGTCTGGCGGGTCTAATCAATTCAAAATATGTAGAAGAGCTATATTTGACTTCACTTTCCAAACATTTATTTTGTTGAGATATTGGCTCAGAGTGAACTACTCTGAAATGCTTTTGCTTTTTATCTTCTTGATGTTTTTTTTCCAGAATGGCTCAGAACGTATGTAGAAACAATTGTTTATAGTTACACAGTTTTTGTTGAGAAAAAGATATTAAACGTACAGAATGTCTTTATGATCAAAAATTTGATTATTTCCATTTCGATTCAATCAAACAGGTTGATTTTTCGTTGGCAATAGAGAGTTTGTTTTTTCATACAGATAACAAAAGTATGTACTACTTTAAAGTGTTGTTATTAACTTCAATACAGAAATACAACTTTCTGTCAAGTAAGAACAGTACATATTGAGCAACGCATCGTTAATTTTCAGTCCTCATAGAAGATCATGACAAGAAACATGGACAAAAAACGTTATTATTGATACATATATGGAGCAAACTTTTAAAACTACTTATAAGGAAACTATCCAAACTGATAGCCATCGTTTAAGCTTATAATGAACCTACGAGGATACCTTGGTGAGACTAGCAAAAGTCTAAAAGAGTTCGTTCTTATAGGCCTTCGCAGCCGAGTTACGATCATTTTACTAAATTTTGAATCCAACTTTAGGTATTTACGGGAAAATCAAGTAACAGAATTTCGATCTGAAACTTTCAGGATACTCTAAGGCTCATTCAAGTTATTAATGGACAAAGTTTCAGTCGAAATTCTGTTACTTGATTTTCCCGTAAATACCTAAAAATGGATCGAAAATGTAGCAAAAAACGATCATAAGTCGGCTCCAAATGTTCATGGCGACGAACTCTTTTAAACTTTTGCTAATCTCACCGAGAGATTCTTGTAGGCTAAATGTGAGCTCAAACGACAGGCAACAGTTCATGTAATTCCCTCGTTAGCTTATAAATTAACAGTTATAATAATTAAAATTTTCCGGCATGCAAACATTGGCTCTTGTAAGGAAGTCGATGATTCGGTGCCTGAAGAACTCATTTATGCATTTAAATTACTGAACACAGATTCTAATGTTAAAATAAAACTAATTCTAAAACTTTATTCTATATATGTCAATGTAATATCATTAATAACATTTCTTTCGATGTTTCCTTATCATCATGTTAGATGAGAAGTAAGAATTACCTATGAATCATTCAAGATGTATGTTCAAGTTACATTTCTTTAGTAAAGTCGATATTGATACTTCAAAGCAATATTTTTTTAAATATTATCCATATGGAAAGAGTCATCAAATAGCTCGCTATTCCCAACATAAAAAAAAAGATTAACCCATTTAGTTGAACGGAAGTGAAGACATGCTACTTTCCATTGTATTTTTATTTATAGTTCACTTTTGATAGACTTTGATATCATGGATTATTTTGAAAAATATCTGAAGAGGCTTTAATTTAAAAAATTGCAAGAGTACTAAAATCCGTTTTAATTTTTTTGTATTAGTCAAAATACATAGCTAATACTCGATGTAAAAATGATTGAATAACAAATAATGATCTTTGTTTTTTTATTCTTTTTACTATGATGTTATTTGTAAACTTACATTGTTTATTTTCATTAGATTGATTATCTAATGGTTTTTTCAAACAAGATTCTAATTGTTGTTTAAATATAACCTGTTGAAACATTGGTGATTGTTGAGCAATATCTTTTAATTGTTCATAATTATCTTGTCGATCAAAAAGAATTTTTAATAAATTAATCATTGTTTTTTTCCAATCTGCAGTAGCATATTTTCCATGTTGAATTTTTAATATAATTATTATTTGATTAATTATTTGATTATTTTCTTGATTATTTTCAATTAAATTTAAAAACATTTTTGGTGATGAATGAATATGAAATTGAAGTAAATCAATAAGAAATTGAAGAAGATTTTTATATGTTTTATTATTTAATTTTGTATGTTGAAAAATTAAATTTGATATTTGAAGTGTTTGTTCAATTGTTAAAAATTCATTATCAAATGTATAAAGTATAAAATTAATTAATTTTTCAAAATCATTTTTATCATTTAAATCATTTTGAATAAAATGAATTAAATTTAAAAAATTTTCTTCATTTAAATTTGTTTTTATTAAATTAATTAATTCATTAATATTTGATTTTAATATTAAACGAGATTGAATAAGTTTATATTGTTTTTCAGTAAGAAGTAATGAAAAAAAATTTGTTTGTTGTTCTATAAGAATCTTTAAACGTTTATGAAAACAAAGAAAATTTGGTAAATTTGAATAATCAGTATCAATTATAACAAGTATTATTGTTGATAAAAGACAACGATTAATTTCAAATTCAATTGTTATTTCTTTGAAATCGATTATTTGAGAAATTTCTTCTAATAAAGTAAAAAATTCTACATAAGCCTTTGAAAGAAAAAAACAAATAAAATATATAATAAAGGATGGAAGAGACGAAAAATTCGCTAAGCAATAAAATCGATCCGCTCTCCAAAAAGGAATTTCAAGAGCAAGTCAATTTCATTGCTTAATGATCACGTTCCTGTTAGTTTACCTGATAATCTTGTAAAAGAATATTATTTAATAATTGATTGAGAATAGTTCGATTAATTATTGGAAGATTTTTTTTATTTAAACGAAATTTTTCATATACTTCATTAATTAATCGATAACGTTTTCTTCCTAAAATTTTTTTATCAAGAAGATTTTTTAATTCTTGACATTTTTTATTCGAATATTTTTGTCGATTTTCAAATATATTTATAATTGTTTGAGTTAAGAAATCATATAATTCATCATTATTTATTAATGGTCTATGTTTAAGTAAAGATAGAAAATCATTTAAATCTGAATTTAATGATAAACACGATGTTTTTAAGTCATTTAATGATATTGGACGAGAATAATAAGATGTTAAACGTTGTTGATCAGCATTTGATAATGGACGAACAATTGTTGATTGATGAAGAAATTTATCAAGTAATTCTTTTAGTTGTTCAGTTGAAAATGTATTTGTATCCGAACAAATCATTTCAATAAGAGAAATCAAACGAAATAGAACATGATTATCAATTATTGGAATAATATCTTCGAGTTTTCTTGACTAGAAAAAATAAAATATAAGTTGAATACAAAGAAAATATTAAATATTATCAATCTAGATTTGTCTACATGGTATTTTCAAAAGTGTTCCTTCATTTGATATTACTATTAAATATTCATTGAGATCAAAGTGTAACTGACAGAGATCGTTTTTAAATTGGGACTATGTGCACAGGCTTGGTTTTACGATAACTTTCAAATCGAAATTCGAAAAACAGTTTTCCTAATGTTCTTGAGAAGGGACGAGGTATAGTATTATACTGAACAATATCGTAACAATGCAATATGTCAACACCAGTAAGCTATGGGTCCGCACTCTTTTAAAGTTATTCATAACTGAATAGAGTCTACATGTAATGTACATGCTTCGGACTCAAAAGCGATTAACCAATTGGGGTGGAGAACTTCTCTCGTAAGACTTTGACTACGAATTGATTCCATTTTGTTTTGTATAACTTCTAATACAATTGGACAGATCAATTCGAACAAAGAAAGTTCAAGTTATGGTTAGTTTAGTTTCAAGAAACAAGAACTTTGATCATTCGTCAAATTTTTTATATTATGACTTGGTTTGTTCAATCGTATCAACATGTATACAAGACTGACTGCCAACGAGTATTTTGTTAGATAGAAAATTTTCTCACTTAATTAAAAATCTTCAAAACTATCAATCGAAAATGATCTTTGTCTTTTCCAATTATCTTCATAAGTTTATTTAATTATTCAAACCACAAAGACATTTATTTTCTAGAAACAATTTCAAAGAAAGATTATTAAATATGTTCAAAATCCTTAATACTAATATATACTGGTAATTTCGATAGGTTTTTTTTCCATTAATAGAACTGACAATCAGATGTGATCAAGGTAGAACCTTATATCAAACTCCGAAACATGACTCTGACGGAATAGGAATCACAGTGACTATGCAGAATAAATAACGACAAGTTTATTCTTCATATGTTAAGTAATGAATAAAATGACACTACTTTATAGATTCATAATCAAGTTTCAAGGAAACAAAACCATCAAAGAGACACATTTATTTAGAAGTAGCACAAAAAAGAAGTGTATATGCTAATTGAAAAAAAAGTTTTCGAAGTTGAAGCAGAAGTCAAAAAGCTTATTTCAGAATTAAAAATCATGTATTTAGATATTCCATCAAATAAGGGTGCTTTGAAGTAATGCTCACTAGAGATGGAATCGGTTCACGGTTCTTCTTGGAATAGGATCGATCCTAACTTTCATGTTTGACACTACTGGCATCTACTTCTATGAAATAATCATTTTCATCATTTCAAATTTTCTTTTATGTTTGTTAAACATTCTTTGTTATACTCATTTAAAAAAAACAATTTAGACATTTTCACAGTATGATATCTTATAAAATATACCTGATCATTAATTTGAGTTAAATTATTATTTTCAGAAGAAAATTGTTCTATCTAAATAAAAAAAAATGAAGAAGAAATTTATTAAAATAAAAATAAATAATTGATTTACTTGTTCATTATTAAATTCTGGTTTTTGTCTATCAAGTATTATTTTAATTTGTTCATAAGCTAATTTTTTATTATCAATATTATAATTTTCTAATTTAATTTTAATTTGATTTAATTCATCAATAGTTATTGGTGCTTGTCCATGATTTAAATAATATTGAAAATAAAATTTTTGTATTGAATTAAATAATGATGATTGAATAGCTGTTTTTAATATATATTCATATTGATCTTTATTTAAATGTCCACTACTAGCCATTAATAATACACCAAAATACCACATTGCATTTTCAACAACAATTATATCGGATTTTATTTGTTCATTATAATTTGTATTTAAAATTTCTATAAATTCTAAAATCCATTGATTAAGATCAATTAATAATTGATTATTTTTAAATAAAATTAAACGTTCTTTCCATATTTGTTTTTGATGATTACGTTCAAAACGTTTCATACGTATATCATAATAAATATGAAGTTCATTAAGTTGTTCATTAGAAAAAATATTTTTTTTTAAATCAAATAAAATTTTTTGTGTAAAATATTCAATATATTTTATATCAATATGTATTTTTGATTTAAATAAACATTTAATTAAATCAAATAAATTTATTGATATAGGTGATATTGAACGTATAATATATTCTTGAAAATCATTAAATATAGTTAAATGAATTTGTGGTACATTTTTAATATGTTCTGTTATTATATTTAATGGTATTAAAATACGTTGTCGACAAAATATTGAACGATCTTCATTTAATAAATGATTTTTTTCTGGTAATAAAATATGTTTTATTTGATAGAATTTTAAATATTGATCATTTGTAAATAGAAAATCATTTTGAGCAATATGACAAAATAATGAATAGAATATTGATTCTTTTTCATAGAATATTTTTGTAAGATTTTCTTCATATTGTTTTTTAAGTTGTTGTATAAGTGAAAGAAATAATTCATATGTTTTATTTCGTTCTTCAATTGTTTCAGAACTATTTATTAATTTTGATGATAGATTATAAATTTGTTGAAATTTATTTTGATCTTTTTCAGTAAGATTTGTTATTATAGAAGGAGATTTTGATCGATTATGTTCTTTTTTATTAGGAACATCAGTACGAATATGATTACGAGAAAAATTTTTCGAATTATTTTGTTTCATAGGACAATCATATTGAACATGACCGTATTCACCACAAATATAACAATCATCTAAAATAGAGAAAATTTTTGTCTTTGAAAAAATATTGAAATATTTTTATGACTTACAAAGTCGAAGATCAACTCCATATTTATTATTGAATGAAGATGCTCGACGTCCTTTATTTGTACCATTATCGGATCCTTTGCTAAGATTGTTTGTGTAATCATTATCTCTTGATTTTCGATTATTATTTTTACGCGTTGAACTTTTATTTACATTATTTCGTTCAGAATTTCGATGATCTATTAAGTCATATATATATATATATATATATGTATGTCATATCGAAGTTTTTTTTATTAAGTTAAACAAGTAAGAATTGTCTATTTGAATAGTATCATCAGAATGATATACAAGATGCTAAATGCAAGATAGGTTGTTTTTTTTTCGTATTCCATTTCGTCCTGAAAGTCGAGATTTTGAGTGTTAGAAATATTAACTCACGTATTCATATATCGCAATTTGAAACAAAATTACAAATCGGTAGTCAATGTAAACCGCATGATTACCTGTAAATTGTGTACTAAACTACTAACAACAAAATATTTGCGAATCATATTTTTGACGGATACTTCCATGGATGGTCAACCATAAAAAATACACGATTCTAAGAAGATTCTTTTAGTCTTTAGAACTCGTTGTGCTAAGCATTTTGATAAAAAAAAAATATTCAAATCACCTCAATAAATCATGGTACTAGGGTCAAAATACTCTAAAATATCAACTATCGCTCAGCACCAATCAGAAATATCTGAAAGTTTTAAGTATTCTGATCCTAACATCATGATTTCTTGAGTAAATTTAATTATTTTTTTTTTTACCAAAATGATCAGCACAATGAGCTCTACAGACGAACAAAAAATCTCCTGAGAACCTTGTGTTTTTTGCAGTTAACTGCTCATGGAAGTATCCATCAAGGCCTATAAGCTAATTTTGAGGTGGATATAACTTAGAGTTTGTCGAATGATGAAAACAAGAATACACTTCGATACCTATAGGGTTACGTTTTTTTTGACGCCAGTACCGAACAGTATTTTCCCTTAAATTAGCAGCAGCTTACGTGTCCAGCGATATTATGTAATTTAAGGTAGCGTGAAGATGATAAAAATACATCTAATGATAAAAGTGGAGATACTGAGTGGTGTTGAGATCTTGTTTGTTTTTTCGCAACAATCACTTATGAAAGGTAATTCAGTATAGATGTTTTCTTTTTTCTATTCAATTGTCAAAAATAAATGCTACATAAAAAAAAAGTATGAAATATGAATACGATATCAAGAATCGGTGGATGACTTCTTTTCATTTTCTATCGAATATAGGCATTGTATTTCTACTTTCATGATTTGACAACTTTCGAAGATTTTCTAATTGAAACTGACTAACAATAAAACGTAGTCTAAGAATGATACTATACTTCGAATTGCTAATCTTCTTGTAAATAATATCTTGTGTATTATGGATTTTTCTTTTTTGATAGAAAAATATGTTTGTTATTCAGGTAAATATTGATTCTAATGATACAATTTAAAGTTACAATTCTTATTCATTTAATTTAATTAAAACAACTTCGATATGATATATAGTATTCCAAACAAAAAGAAATGAGAAAGAAAAAAACATATTATTTACCATATCGATTATCATGGGAATGTGCAATATGAACATCACGTGGATTCGATATTTGTTCTATATAATTCAAGACATTTCAAAATATAAAAAATCTCGTGTATCACATACTTATGCATGATCGATTTTTCTCTTTTGATGACATTGAATTCGAACCATGACGAAATGTATCATCAGTAAAGACATTTTTTTGTTGACGTTGATTAGTTACACTTCGATTTGATTTTTTATTATAATCTTGTATTTTTGTTATCTTTTCGTCTTCTTGTTCTTCACCATCAGTTGTATCTTCATACAAATCATCATCATCATCATCATCATCGTCATCATAGTTCTCTAGTTTTTCAAATGTACGTTCTTCTATATTTTGTAACCAACTATCAATAATTTGATTTTGTGCCATTGACAAAACACATGCATTCGATGCTAATTCAAGTAAGAAACGTAATTGTTCATCATGAAAAAATTGATTAAATGATGTGAGGATTATTTGAGATATACATTCGAAAAGTAATTCATGATATCCATGTAATTGTTTACGTGTTTCAGATGTTTGAAGAATACTAATTAAAGATTCATAAGCAGAAATAATTTGTTTTTTATCATTTGATGCAGATGATAATTCATTATTAAGCAATTTTTGAAGGCGAACTTCAACTTTATCTTTGGCCATATTTTTTTTTATCGACAATATGTTTTTAAATATTATAATTTGAAACACAATAATATCTATGACTAAAAGAAAAAAAAGAAATGTGAATAAAATTTTATATTTCAAGTATTTATTTATTATTCAATAAGATCCAATAAAACAATACAATATAATTTAATTCTTTAGCTAATCTAAAGATGTCGCAATATCCTGAATTGATTAACAAAAAGAAAGAATAACAAAGCTTTGTTCTTTTATGTGGAACCAATTGATAGTTTGTAAAGAATAATAAGTTATATTGTGAAAAGTATTATAGTCATTGTAATATATTTGAATCTAGCTTTTCAAATGAAATATGATTATGCAAACTGAATGATTATGATGAATTGTTGAAGTTCGGCGCAATTTCTATTGACATCAAGTATCGTTCGCATACACAAATTGCTTGTGCCACTCTTTCACTTAATCAGCTTTGCCGACACTCGTTAACTGAAATAATACCAATAACATGGTAGAGATGTACAGAGTAAACTCTGTTCGTATCCTATACTCTGACTGAGAAAAATTTTCTTATCCTACCCGGCGGATTAGGTAGAATGATCCTGCACATCTCTCTATTGAGGTACGCTCCATTTTTCTTTGTATGTATTTTGATGTTTGCACTAACTGAACTACCCTGTAAAATGAAAACTGAATAAATCATTGATTTGTTACTATTAAAAGAAAACCAGTGTTATATACTAACTTGAATACTTTGTCAATTTCTGTTGCATTCTTTACATTGCTGAAAGGTGTTGACGGAGATTTTGTTGTTAATTATATGTCTAAATAAAATTATTGATTTCTGAGTAAAATCTTCTCTCAACGTTGTTCTTCTCATATATTTTCATTATAGTAACAGAATGAATTTGAATGAAAAGCGATCTATTTATGTATATATTTTATGTGCCTATGAAGGTTTTGTATTTCTTTCGTATCATTGTCTTATATGGAAAGAGAAACTTAATAAGTTAAATAGTTATTGCACATAGATATTGAAATATTGTCGATTAGCAAAAATTTCAAATGAATATAGTGCTAAATATTTATAACTAATATAAACATGAAAATAAAATGTAGAGCAAAATGAAATGTGATATTTCTGCAAAACAAAAATTATCATTCTCTCATGTAAATTTCATTGGTGAGTATGATGATTATTTTCTTTGCTTTTATGGAAGGTATGGATTGGTTATCGATGAAAGAGGATCGCTATCGTTATTCTATTTGTAAAATAATACTATAATCATGTTCTTGTCATTGCTCTTGTCTACTAAAGAAACACTTCAATCAAAGAAAAAGAAGTAAGTAGGCGTTTTTTTATTATGCTAGGTTAATTTTATTATTATTTATTGAAACACGAAAGCGAAAAAAAAAAACACAGATAAAAGTTTGAAACTTATGTTTATTGATCTATATTTGTCTGTCTATTCTTATCTGTTCTGTATAACCATCAACAATAACTTTTATTTTGTGCTTATCTAATCATATTTTTCAAGTTTTGGTTCAATCAGAATGTTGTCCAATTATGACTATTAGTTATATTTGCAAGCCGACAGAATGCCGCATCTTACTCTCGTTTTAAATCGAAATCGACTTCTTCGAAATTTTGATTGCTGAATAAGTAAAATTTGATAGTATTCATATGCAAATGACCTTTATAACAAACAACTGCACCAGTTGTTACCAAGACCTTGAAATAAGATGGTGTATCAATATAACTATCGAATGTAGTAATATGTTGACTTTTTTCATCAAAGATCTGAACTATTGTGTGTTCTGAATTAATATGTACTTGATTGTCAGAATTGTTGCAGCAGCAGTACCATTGATTCACATTATCAAAACATGAGAATTGAACCAATAGTGGTGATGATTTTTTAACGCACTCATTAATCTGTTTCATAAGCTCGTTTTTAACTTCACATGCATATTTAATCAAGATATTCGATTCAACTAGAATGTATTGAGTCTTCTCGTCCAATTCGATTTGACAATATTTCGCTCCACACAAAGACTTCATATGATGGTTTGTATGTCTTCTGATACTATCCCTTGCGATCCGGCAGTTCAACTCATATTTAATTGTTGCATTTCTCTTCGACATGTATGTATCTTGAGAATAGAATTTGAGTATGTGTTTAACCTTTGTTACTGATATCAATTGCAAGTTGGTGATCTTATCACATGTGCATGAATAACATCTGCACGAATGGTGATACTCCTGTTAAACCTTGTCACAATATCAATTACAACAATAACCCATAGCTATAAACTACCATTAAAATCGTGCAACTGTTTGAATACGTACAATTATAATGTACTTTTCCTTTGAACAAAAATTCAATTTTATAATTGAATAACTAGGATATGCTTCACTGTTTAAATCAATCAGGTTAGAGAACGTCAACTCAAAACTTGTTAAAAAACCGTATGGGCTGTGTCCTTGAAATCTTTACCTTCTTAGAAAGTAAACTCGTCAGTGTTACTACAAAGAAAAATAGATTTTTTAGCAGAAATGAACTAAGCTAGAAGGAGAAGACTAATATAGGTTTAGAAGAATGAACACTCTTCTGAATGTCACTACCAGCATTCTTTGACATCAAGAATTGTAAAAAAAAAATAAATGCAATCTAAATCGACTGTGTGTTTCACCTACAACAAAAAATGTTTTGTTCATAGATTGTTTCTATGAGAAAATAAACAAAAGATTGTAAAAAGAAAAAGAAATCAAAATTGCTCGATTTGATTTTTATTAACATCTGTGTGTAATCGTCTATTGTATACAAATTATTGAGTTATATTTTGTTAGCAAACTAGTTTTGTGAATTAGATTTCCTCTATAACGTTAGATTTAATCATGAAGTTCGAATAGATTTCTAAACAATTCACTTGTTGGAAAATAATAAATACTTTTTCTTAATGCTAGAAGCACATATCCAGTTAACATCCATGTCCGTTAGATAGGTATTATAATATGAATATACAAAAAAACATTTGTTTTTTAGTTAAATTTTTTCCACTAATTACAAATTAATAACAAACATCTAGTAACATGTCAAGTAAAATTATTCAATAATGTAATGATATTTCATGTTGTTCCATTGTATTTCGTTTTATATTATTTACTTTTTAGTTTGATGGTTTTTGACATTGAACACGTTTATTTTATTTTTTCTCATATAATAATTTATCCTACACAGGGTCCTCAAAGTTCTGAAACGATTTTAAAATTTATTGTTCTTATATTTAATAATAGCAAACTTCTCACAACCTTAGCAGATTATTATATTTACTTAGTACTAAATAGCTACACAGTTTCAAATTGATAAATTTTACAATAGATGAGAAATTAACAACATTACCATGTACTATTTTATTAATATTTAAATTACTTTTTAAATCTTAATAACTTTTCGCAATAAAAAGAAACGTATATTATTTTATCAATGTTCATGTATTTGATTACCATTTTGATCATACTAATAGTTATCTATCATTCATTGACATAAAAAAATTCTAAATTTATTCTAATCCTTTTATCATATCATTTTTCAATTGTCTAATGCTATTGTCTTCTCGTGCACATAAACTCTTTTTTAATACATCCCAGATATATTCTATTGGACAAATATTTGATTCAATTCAATTGATAAAAACATACTTAACAAAATTCAAAATTAAACGTTTTTTTTTATTTAGAATTTTGATCATCATGAAAAATTAGATTTTACAAATCATCCAATCTTTTAGTTGTTTTTTTCTTTCTATTTCTTCGATTGATACTTACAGAAATGAAAATATATTCGTAAAGAAAATAATTTTTGTTTTGATATGTGTTTCATAAGGAAACCAAGGAAACAACATTTGCTTCAAGTCACAAAAATTTTGCTTTTATTGAATATAAGAATGATACATTTTAAAATCATTTCGCAACAACTTCACGGATATCCTTTGTTGCATAAAAATCATTTCTCTATATGTTGAAATTAGAATAATCTTTTTATCATTTGAAAATATCTATGAACTTAGTGTCATATTTTCTGTTGTCGATGCCATATAATCTAAAGTATTATCAATATTATAAGAGACACTCGTTTATTACATTCCTTTACAATGTTTAGTAGAAAAAAAAAATTTGTTTTTCATTATGTATTTTATTGAAGTATGATTTATTCAAAACAACATCATATATTGACATAAAAGCTTAGATACAAACATCCATGGATTATACTTTTTTCTTTATGCAGTCATCATCTTAATATTGGATATAAGTCGTTGAAAACAATGTTTAAAGATTCTCTACAAAAGAATTTTATGGTATTAATTGATAATGGTTGAATAGATAAACATAAAAAAAAGCTACAGTGATGTCGGCAGATTGTAGTAGAACTATTAATATGCAACATATGTTTATATGCATCTACTTAGTTCTTAGTTTTATCTTCTTTCTGAATTTGGTATTGGTTTTTTTTTCATCTTCATAACAGCATTCGTCATTTCGATCTTTCAACATTTTTATTGGCGTTTTTTTTTTCGACATTATGCTATTTTTTTTTTCTATGTTCTATCAATATAACATGTGTCTGATGATCTTATATGACAGTCATAATTCTTCAATTGAGACACCATCATAGGAATAGGACCGTATTCACACATTAAAAAAAAAAAAGCAGTCATTATCCTATATCGCTTTCCACAGTTGTTATTCACTCATACTTGTATTAAAATTAAAAAAAAATGATGTTTGAAACATGGTGAGTTGTAGTATTTCTTATCATAGTTAATATGTGAATATATTCAAATTTAGTTTACTTTCTATTTTATCAATATTTTTACCACCTATTGTTGTGTTAATCAAAGTGGGTAAGAGTTCGAAAAAAAAAAACCAATTTATCTTTTAATAAATCAATTCAATTGATAATGTATTTTAAAGGATGTACGGAACGATTCTTAATAAATATTTTACTAACTCTTTGTGG